GGTTGCAAGCAACAGAAACCGATCTGGCTAGTTAAAACAGAAAAGGGCATTTGCTGGTGGTCTGCTCCAGGGTTCACAGAAGGGACTGGCAGCTGGAGAACCTCAGGGATGTGGCAGCAGTTGGGGTGAGGCAGGAGAAACATCTTGAGCCCCTTGTCCAGGGGCCACAGCTGAGAACACTCCAGCCATTCCCCCTTCCCTCAAGATGGAGAGCCCCAGGAGAGGGGCCCAACTGGCCCAGCCTGAGTCATGGACCCACCCCTGGCCAGGGGACACTGACTCTTGAGATCCCACCAAAATACCAGGGGGTAGATGCTGGGAGGTTACAAAATCTTGCATGGCCACCTGCCTTCTAGAGCAGGCTTGAGAGGGGTGAGGCAGCCCTCATTCTTGGCCCCGATGGAGGGAGAGGCAGCTGAAGGGGTGGTGTCCTTAGGCACTTGGATCCACTCTGGGCCTCGGGCAGGAGAGAGAAGGTGCAGTGCCTAGAGCTGTCTCTGGCCCTGCATTCCCTTCCCCAGCCACATGGAGCAAGCACCTCGAGAAATACAAACAGGTGGAGATAATCTAATCTGAGTCCCTGGATCCAGCTGTGCCTGAAGCTCATCTTAGCTGTTCTTCTGAAACTGTCCTCCCAGCTCCGTGTTCTAGTAAGTTCCCATCTTGCACTCGAGCTAATCTGAGGTGGATCTTTTAACTTACAACCAAAATATTCTTCATCAAATCTAAATCCTCTCCTCTCTGAGTTTTGGTTTACCCATCTGTGAAAGGGGCACAGGGCTTGGTTGAGATCCTTTTCTTTCCACCTGTGAGAGATGCTAGCATTGGTCCAGCTCTTGGCCTCTGGGGCTCAGCTGACCTCCTTCCCAGGTGTCCCCAGGGTCTTCCGACTGCAGCCCTGGGTGTCCAGCTGCTCCACCAGCATGGCAACACGGGCCTCCAGCTCCCCCAGGGTGCAGGCATGGTCGGCACTGCCGAAGTGGCGGAAGTAAGTCATGAGCTTCTTGGCCATCTGGTCATCACACCTACAGCGGAGGAGAGTACCAACACTGGGGAGCTGCTTTCCCGAGTCTGTCTCCCCCGAAAGCCAAGTGAGGCCACGACGCCACCTGCTCACACCTTCCGTGGCTCTCCATCCCATCAGAGCAAAAGCCAGAGGCTTCCCTGACCTCACTCCCACCCATCTCTCCTCATTCTACTCTGGCCACAGCAGCCTCCTTGCTGCCCCTCCAACGTGCCTCGGGGCCTTTGCACTTGCTGCTCCCTCTGCCTGGAATGCTCTTCCTCATTTGCTTCAGGTCTCTGCTTAAACAGCACCTTATCAGAGGCCTTCCCAACATGTCCCACACCTGCCCCTCTCTCTTCCTCACATTTGTCACCACTCACTAGAACAGAGGCTCCAGGGCAGAGGGCGTCTGTCTTGTTCAGCACTGTTTTCCAGGTGGCTAGGCACATAGTAGGTGTTTAATATATGCTTGTTGGTGTCAAGGGTTGGTGTTAATAGTGGTCCCGGAAAATTAACAGAACTTTAAAATAAGAAGTCAGTGCCACTCCCAGTGGTGTACCTGCTGCGACTGGGCACCCATGGGGCATTTTATTATCCTCGGTGGCAAATCCTCACAAATCCTCTGCCAGACATGTGTTACTGTTCCATGTTAGAGATAGGAAGACTGAGGCTCAGAAGTCGGGAGACTTGACTGAGGTGCGCCAGGTGTCGGATCAGGAAAGGGGCTGACATGTCTGGGGGTCACGCTACAGCTCGGGGGCAAGTCTGGGGCAGCGGCGAAGGGAGTGAGTGAGAATTGATGGGATGAGACCATCACGGCCTGTGCCTTTGAAAACGCTCTCATTTCACCCGCACACGTGCTGGGGGCAGTCTTACCACCTCCATCAACAGGTGAGGGGTCAGAGCATCGCAAGGCGGACTGAATCAGGAGGCCAGCCTCCCAAGTTCAAGTTCTGTTGTGTATGGAGGGGCCACCCTGGGCTTCCAGGATGACTGTGCGAGCCCCCAGCCCAGGGCGTCCGGTCCTGGGGCCCCCCAACCCCGCACACGTACCCCTTCCCGCAGCCGGAGAGGCCGGCCAGCAGGGTCGTGACCTCGGCCGGTGGCCTCTGCTCCTCCCGCCACTTGTGGTCGTCGTCCTCCTCGTCAGAGGCGGCCTGGCCCTCCACCGAGCGGAACAGCTGCTCGTCCGCTGCCGGAGAAGCACGTGCTGCGGGGACGCAGGGCGACGGGAGGGGAAACAGGCAGAGGGGAGAGGCCCAGGGGCTCTCCACCCCCCAACCAGGGAGGTGAGGCCCCCGGGGCTGGTGCAGCCCCGCCCATGCGCCTGGCCGGGAGCCCCTCCCTGGGTCTTACAGGGGACAGTGGGAGTGAGGAGCCCTCCTTTTTTCTGCTAAGATGACGCAAGAAGCCAGGGCCTGTCTGTGCCCCCAGAAGGCGTGCTGTTTCCCGCTGGGGACATGGTGATCCCAGCCAGGGAGGCCAAGGCCCTCTAGCGAGGGCTGGGGTCGGGACTCTGCAGGGCACAGGCGAGACCACCTTCAACTCTCAGGGACTGCCTGCCCCTGACACCTGGGGACGTGGGGCAGTGGGTGTCGCGCATGTGACTCTGCGTGGTCCCTGATGGGCTGTGCCTCATTACAGCCCTCTGGCTGGACTGTGTCAGCAACCCCGGGATCCATCATGCACACTGGACGTGGGGTCCCGGGCAGCCCTGACTCTTCCTGGGGAGCCCTCCCTCACCCCTGACTGCACCCCAGCTCGGGGATGCGAGTCCGGCCCACACCGGCCACGTGGCTGTTCAGGCAGGATGTGAGCCAGGGAGTCAGGCCAGAATCTGACCCCACTTCCAGGAAGGGCAGTGCCTCTGCCCCCAGCCTGGGACCTGCAGGGCGTGGGTCTGAGCTCCCGGGCCGTCTTGTCAGTTGTGGGGGGCACCTTCTGTGAAACAGGGCTGGGGAGGTGGGGCTCTGCTTCCCCCGCCGTGCCGGACCCCTGCTTGGCTTCATGTGCACCATGTGAACCAGCAGGTTCCCTTTAATTAGACCGGTTTGGGCCGAATGGCCTGCTCCTCGTGGACAGTGTCCTGACTGGCGCGGCTCTGTCAGCCTCGCCCCTCCCCGCACCCGCCCCCCACACAGCAGCCGCCTGAGGGCCTGGGTGTCTGGAGCGTAGGAGACTCCTGGGTGATCCTGGCCAGCTGGCAGGTTTGGGAACCCCTGGCGCAGGTATCCTGATGTTGGACATGCAGCTGGGTAGGTGCAAGGCCCTTCTGTTTTTTTCTCAGTAAAAGGTGTCCCAGACCCAGCGGAACCAGGGGTGGGTGACTGGTCCGTGACTCTGTGACTGAGGAGGTGTTTCCTATATTGAGTTTGTTTCCCATTTGGGGATTCTTTTTCAGACATTTGGGATGTTTTCCTTTTCTGACGCTGTGTGTAGTGTCACGGCTGCCAGTCGTCCGGGTACCTGAGGCAGGGGCAGGCTAGGGGCTCTGAGGGTGGGAGGGATGGCGCCCAGCTGCACGCCTGCCTGGGGCTGAGCCGGGAGAGCCCTGGGCACCAGCTCAGACAGCTTCTCTCTCCTTTTGTCCTCATTCTCCAGCCCCACCAGGCCCAGGTTCTTAAGATGACAGGCCTCTCTATGGTCATCTTGAGAGGTGACCATCTAGTCCCTGCTTATACCCCTCTGATGACGGGAGCTTACCCCACCCCAGCTCCCTGGTGCCCATCCCATCCCTGCGTGGGACTAGACAGCAGATAGATTTTCCCCACACTGAGCTGGAAGCTGCTTCCTGGAACCTGCCCTCCTTGCCGGGTGTCTACTCTCAGGCCTGAGGAAAGGGCCTGTGGGGGCTTGAGAGGCCCACCCTCAGCAGGTAGAGGATAGGCTTCTGTATGAGGCCGGACGGCAGCATCAGCGCAGACAGGACCCCGGGAGCAGGGCTGGGTGCATCCCGGTCAGTCGTGAGCCAGGCAGCCAGCCTGGGTGTGTGTGCAGAGACAAACCTTCATCCAGGGGTCTGCTCCCGGAGTTGCTGTCTGAGCCCCAGGCTCCCTCTGGAGGAGGATCTGGGTCTCTGGTCTCACCATCCTCAGGTCCACTGGTCTTGGCTTCTGGCTCTGGGCTGGCTCGTGGTGAGGCAGGGAGCTGGGTGCCCTCTGACCTGTAGGTGGGGGAAGACACAGGTGTTGAGGGGGTGGGGCTCAGCCAGTTTCTGACAGGAGAGTGTGGACATGGCCCTGCTGTCCTGCACCGCTTACTCTGCACAGGTAAGCTGTCTTTGTCATGCCTGAGAAGACCCTGGGTCGTGTTTGTGTCTGACCCTGTGGGCTCCCTGCCCAAAGGCCAGCATGGTGCAGTCAGCCTTCCATGATGCACAGCCGCCCAGCCTCCCTTCCAGCTAAGATGTGGGCTTGTAACCAGTTTTAGCCAGCGGGACTAAAGGCAAGCTCTTCTGAGGAGCCTCTGCACCCAGGAGGGCTGGGCAGGAGTGCTTGGTTCTAACCTTTGCGCTGCCAACAGGAACTGGCAGTGGGACTTGGGCCCCATTTTGCAGGTGGGTCCCTGGAGTGGACAGCTTCTGAGATCCTCCCAGCTCAGCTTGGGTTCTCGTGATCTGGCCTGTGCAAGGTTGGCCAGGCACTCTGCTGGCTGTGTGAGGTCAGGGAGACCACAGCAGAGTGACTGGGACCCGGGAAGGAGGTGCCTCGGGGAGGCCAGGCAGGTGTGGGCACCCAGGGTTTGTCAGGTGGACTCAACACCCAGAGGACTGTCTGCTGGGCCAAACAGGAGGTCTGCAAGGTTGCACTTGAGGCCCAGGGTGGGCCATCGGCCACCTGGGGCCATCCAGCACCCCCTCCCCAATGGTGACAGCTCCCTGGTTGTCACTCAGTTATCTCACCTGCTCGGCCACCCCGCCTCTGCCGCTGCTGCTCATCAGCTCAGAGGAGGGCGGGGCATGTGGCTCCTCCCCCATATCAGCATAATCCCATCCCTGGCGACTGTGATTGGCTAGGGGCTGCACAGGTAGCCAATGAGGTGCAAGGATCAGCCAGTTATGGGAAACCCAGGCAGCCTCTCCTGTGGCCCGCTTGCCCCACCCTGGTGTTGAACGTGGGTGCTGTGGGGAGATGTGACAGCCATTGGGGACTTTTGGGGGGTAGCTGCCTGGAGATACTGGGGGCCACGGATAGAGCCTAAAGATGATGGCAGTAGAAACAGGTCCTTAGTAACATTATTTGAGTTGCTGGATCAGGCTCTGCCTGAAGCCAGAGCTAAGCCTAACCTTTTGTGTTTTATGAGCCAGTAACTCTGACTGATAAAGTCCTGCATTCAGGCTCCCCCAGTGCAAGCTGAGAATGTGAAACCCTGGATAGGGATTCTCAGTTCAATGACTTTAAGCTTAGGTCATATCATTTGAGGTCTACCTGGGGAGGTGAGGGGCCTTCTCAACCCCAGAGGCTCAGACCACAGCCAGGAGAAGACACAGGGGTACAGAGTCACGGTCTCCAACACTCAAAGGTGGACGCCAGTAGGCTTTATGTGGCCCCAGAGGGCAGTGCCTTACCAGGATGAAGTCGGGGGGAGCAGAGATGAGAGCTGGAGCATCAAGGGAGGCAGGTTTAGCTTACATTGGGGAAACCCCCTTGTAAGGACCGCTGGCTGGGAGTGGGATGGGTGCCTTGAAAGGTGCTGAGCTTCCTGGTGGAGGGGGTACTGAGCTAATAAGCAGGGAAGGGACTTCAACGGGTGAGATTTTGCATAGAGTCAAACTCGACAATATCCAGGTCTTCCCGATAGAGGAGAAGCTTCCTGTTTTTTTCCCTTAAATTATGTAAGGGCTTCAACAAGCAAACTGAGATGGAGAGACAGCCCTTACTTGAGTTTCCTCACCCAGGCTGACTCAGGGAGACCGGATCCCCGCACCCGCCACACCCCTAGCCGCTGGAGTCTTAGAAGCCTCACAGCTTCCTGCATCAACACAACAATAAATCTTTTAGAGTGCTTGCTCAGCGCCAGGCACCGTTCTAGGCTTTAAGCCTTTGCTCACAGCGCCCTACGAGGCAGGTAGCATCATCACTTCCTTTCTGTTAGAGTAACGGGCCAAAGGCGCACAGCTCGGAAATGCAAGGGCTGGACCTACACTCGGGCCGCGGGCTCCAGGCTCGCACCACAGGCCCCGCCAGGCGGAGGGCAAGCCTGGAGTAGCCTGGCCCAGCCGCTGTCCTCATTCGGTGACCACAGGTCACAGGCTGTGAGGTCGGGAACAGGAAGCCAGTGGGACTAGAGTTCAGAGAGCAGGACAGATGAGGACACACTTTGGAATTTTCCAAGGAAAGAACGTGGCCACAGAGACAGAGTGGGATGTGCCACTGTCGTCCACAACTGGGCTTTAGCTGAGGGATGGACGCCCCTCTCTGTCTGCTGGGCCTGTCTGCAGCAGCATTCGTGGGACCACACAAACAAGCTGTAACATCTCCCTTCACTTTAAAACAAACCAAAAAACCCTGTCACCGTTCGGCTCCCTGCCCCACCACCCCCTTCTCTGCCCACTTGGCTCCACGCCGCCCCGCTGCGCAGCCGGACCCGCGGAGAAGGGCTGAGTGCCACATCACTCCCGCGCTGGGACACCTCCCCGCGGCTTCTGGGGGGCGGTTCACCCCTTCCTGGCACCATCTCCTCTGCTTTCTAGATCCCCCACTTCATCGTGACCCTAAACCCCGGCGTGCCCTCAGGCTCTGTCAGAGGCCCTCTTTCCACTGCTTGCACTGACCCGGAGGGTCTCTGCCAGCGCTGTGGCTTCTAGTGCGAATAGCTTGCACCTGAGCCTCCCCTCTGGCCTCTGAGGTCCAGTTTCCTAACAAGGTCCCCAGCACAGCTCCTGCCTCGGCACCTCCACTGGGATGTCCCCCAGGCAGCCTCGTCTGCCACCACCTGCTGCTCCCACTTCCCCTGGTGAAAAGTGCCGTCACCTGCTTGGCCGTCCAAGGAGTGCAGATGGCCTTTGGGTCTGACCACCTGGAGGTCAGATGGGGGCTCAGGGTCTGACCCGCCGCTCAGTTCCGCCCCAGCGCCCAGCCCAGGCGTGCCGCGGCGAGGCTGCCGGGCCGAGGGCTGTGGCACCTTCCACGCCTGAGTCTGTGGAGGCAGGGAGAGGACGAGGGGGAAGGGCTGCAGCCCCTGCTCACGGGGTTCTCTGGTAGAGGCATGGGACCATCAGGCAGGGAGAGCAGAGGGAGCCCTCACTCTTCAGGGCCATGCCCTCTGGACACAGCGTGGGACCTCACACAGACAAGGAGGGCCCTGAGTCTGCAGAGCTGGGAAGGAGTCCTGGAGGAGGCAGGACTTAGGGTTGAGCAGAATGAAAGGCTTGGGTGGGGAAAAAGATGGCAGGTGTTTGGGGACAGATGGCGGGGGAGGGAGGCAGCAGGGCCAGAGCAGAGGACTCACATAGTGGCCGGATGGCTGAACAAGGCGGGAGAAAGGGTGAGACAGCCCCCAGGCACCCCGCTCTGGGTGGGGCCTCAGAGCTGGTGGGGGCAACACAGGGGTCTGGCCCCCGGGCCACCCTCAGCACAGCCTGACCTTGCCCCGCGTCCGTCTCCCGCCTCCCCGGCTTGGAAGGCCCCATGCCACTTCATCTCAGAGATGATTGGAGCGGGGCAGGCTTGCGCGTGTCAGATTGTCTCGTACGGAGCTACTGGTTTTTACCGCCTTTGACCTGCGAGAGGCACTCGAGAGCAGTTCAGTCTAATAGAACCCATCTGTGTAATATTTCTTGACTGACTGCAGACCCTCCCTTCAGGAGTCTGTGAGGGGCTTTGCTAGAATATTCTGGGCCTAGAGATCGGACAGCTGCGGCCCTGGGACTGGACCACCCAGCCCAGTGGTTGAACGAGGGTTTCCCAGAAGAACAGGTCCCCTGGGGTTGGCTCTGGGGGGGAGATGGAGCTGCCTGTGGCCTCACTGCGAAGGCCCCCTGCCTGACTCGCAGCTCCAGCCCCCTTGAAGGCTCCAGCCCCGAGGGCACAGAGCTGACCCTGTAACCCGTTAAGTGTGTCTTTGTCTCCCCGCCCACCCCAAGGCCGTGGCGACTTGCTGTCATGGCCGTTTTCTGGAAGACAGCTCTGACCTGCTCCAGAGCCTTCTGTGTCTTCCCATGAATGCCCAGAAAAATCCAAGTCCCCAGTATCACAGCCCCTTCACAAGGGAGCTTCTGACCTGGACCAGCCCTCCAGCCTCCCCGCTGGAGACGACCCTGGGGTGGCCCAGCCAGACCCCCTGAGCTTCCAGTACGTGGCCCTCCGGGGCTCTGCACGTGGTAGCCACAGCCGTCCCCTTACTGTGCGCTGGACGCTGCTGTGTTAACGCCAGACTCGCCTGCTCTGCCCACAACCCTGAGAAAGGCTTATCCTTGTTCCTCCCAGTTCACAGATGAGGAGACTGAGGTGCAGAGCCGGAGTGACTTCCACGCAGACCCCTCGGCCTTCAGGGTGCACCCCCACCCCCACCTGCTAGTTCTGCCTGGAAACCCTGCTGGTGCTTCTCTCCCCGGCCTTGACGCAAGTGTCACTTCCTCTTAGAACTCGCCTCCCCTACCTGTGCTGGGTCCCTCCTGTCCGATGGTGTTTCCTGGAGGGCATCTAGCCCAGTTCGGAGTGTCCCCGTGAAGGTTTGTTGAATGACTAGATGACGGAATGGATAAATGACACCACTGGCAGCAGGTGCCGGCAGGTGAGGAAGAGGGAGGGCAGGTGAGGCTGGGATGAGCCCAGAGCCCCGGTGGGTGTTCCAGTCCCCCCGTGCCCTCTGCTCTTGGGTTGTTTCAGAAGGACAGGCCAGCACTAGCTCTGGAGCCACAAGTCCCAGCCTCATCCCTTCCCCGACCCCCTGCCCACCCCGCCGAGCGGTGGGCCCCCCAGACTGCAGACACCTTGGGTCACTGGCTCTACTGTTTGCTGACATAGATTCCCCTTGATAGGAAGCATTATCGCCAGGAGTAAAAAGCCAGTGTCTCTGGTTGTAAAGAGAGAGTCACCAGAAAAACACGAGAAGCACACGGAACAGCCAGTCCTAGTGAGATCTTGATTTCTGTCTGCCTCTAAGCCAGGCTGTTCTTGCTTCATTGAAAAGAGGCCTTGGCATTGTTGAGGGGAGTTGGGA